GCCCCGCTCGGCGGCCATCTCAGCTCTGCCCCCGGGGGAGCAGGTCCCACTGAACCCCCGCCCTGCCGAGCAGGACCGAGGCCTCACGCGGTGCCAATGCACAGGATCGCTGCCAGGGATCCCCGCAACCCACAGGCTGGGGAAAGGAAGGGAAAGCAGCGAGGGCCAGCAGCAGCACCCGCCCACTCCTAGGAAATGCTGATCATCTGCGACGCTTTGCCTGCCGCGGTGAGCCCACAGCTGCTCCCCAGCCCCAAACACAGCACAGAAACACACATGAGCTGCACTTCTTGCAAAGAGCCCAAAACGCCCAGTCCTACGAACAAACGAGGGTTCGGTGACAGCGCTTCCGAGAAGCGTCCCTCCCCAGGACCAGCCGGGCCTTTACCTGTTAATTGAACTGACGCTGGGCACGGTGTCGTTGTCGCAGACTCGCTCAGCAAGGAGCCTGTCCCTGATCTCCCAGGCAAACATGGTGGGATTTTGGCGTTTGTACTCTGCAATTTTTTCGACGACTTTGGGTGTGGCGACCTTTGGTTTTGATCCTCCAATCACTCCAGGCTTAATACTCCCGGTTTCGTAATACCTGGGACAACATCCAAAACGAAGCTTTAGTTATCACAAATAGACAGAGAACATGCTTTGAGATTTATAGTGAACACAATTTCAAGGTATCCAAACCCCAGCAAATCCTGAGATACATCTTCACTTTCACATACACATTTTCTGCCTATGTAGTGCTTTATCACCTAACAGATTAACTTATAGTAATTGGAATTGGGCCTCAGGATACAGTATGTATTTTTCTGTAATAGCAAGACAAAAGAAACAACGCAAGATTAAAGGGCATGCCGGGATCCAAAATTAACTGAAAATGTGTGTTATTAATCAGCAGTACTGGCAATAATAGAAACAAATCACACCAAAGACCACTTTTTGCGGTGGACTCTTTCGTAGTAAATTACTGTTTCTACAGAAATTCTCTGTTATTAATATCTACAGCTTGTTATCGTTTCATAGTGAAATGAAGGCTAGGTATTGTATTTTATTTGCGCCTCTGGAATAAATACGCCAGCATATCTTTTTCCCATTTTATGGTTTTAAAATGCCTATTACGGTTTTAGTAGTTAATATTTTTCAAAATGTATTCTTTTTAACATTATGGTTTTAGTTGTTTCGATCATGAATTTCAAGGAAGAGGGAGGTGCCCACGCTCTGGAGGGGTCCAGCCGAGGCGGGGGTGGGTTTCTGTGACCAGTCCTGCGGCCCTTCCTCAGCAACGGCATCTTTACCCACGGCCGCAGCGCTACCGACGCCACGCCGGGGAAGGTGGAGGACTGGATCCCCCTAAACCGACGGAAATCGGCCGGATTTCTTCACGTGTGCATCACCCAAGAGCAACTGCTCTTGGCAGCATTGCAACAAGGCATCGCAGCTGACAGCCCCCGCCCCACAAGTCCCCCCGCTTCACAAACGAAGCCTTGAGCGTGCTGCTGAGAGCAGAATCTGTATCTCATCCACTGATGGTCGGAACAGAGACCAAGAACGAGACCGTGCTCTCTGCACTGAGCTGCCAGGGAGCGCAACGCACGAGGCACTCTCCCAGCCCTGCACTTCCTTCTATCTTGTGAATTTTCCTGTGACCAGATGAAAAATGAACCCCGCGCCTACCTGCAACAACGGCCCCAACTGCCCTGATCCGGCACGTCCATCCTTCACAGAGCAGACCTGGACTTGGTGAGCCTTTCAGCCAGATGCCCAGCAAGCCGCGTGCTCTCGGCGGCTTAAACGCGTCCGCTCAGTGCTCTGAGCCCGTATTTCTATCAGGGAGCTCAGGAAAGGCTCCCAAGTAAGAACGTAAGGCTGCTTATTAATATATTTTCTCTGCAGCTACTTGACATACCCGTTATATGAAAAAAGAAAAATTAATTCCCCCATCCTTCCAGCGTGAGCGGAGCACAAACAGGCTGCACAGCCACAGCCTGTCTCACCGTAACATGCACCCGTGTTCATCGGATTCCTGCCAGGCTACGGGTGTTCAGTCTTTCTGTGAGGGCTCGGTGTGCAGGGCCCACGGTTCCTCCAAAGAGGCTGACACCGGGGTGTCCGTACACGGTTTCAGGTATTCTGGATGCAGGCGTGGACTCAGATCCACCCGTCTCCGTGAGCCATTTAAGCAACATTAGTAATGGAAAGCGTCAAGTGTCCAAGATGCATTAACCCTCCTGGCGTCCCTAAGCGCAGCCTAGCAGTGAGCTTTAGGGCAAGGGGGTAAAATTCAGCTCCTCCCGTGCTTCCCAAGGACATGACAAGACGATGGCAAATTCAGACCACAAACCCCCTAAGACCTTGCACCCCTGGCCTCAAAACCTTTGCTGCTGGCACCTGTCCTGTGAGGAGGGTGCGGAAGGAAGCCGGACAATACCGTGAATGCTACCGAACAAAAAGGTCACCGTTTTCTTAGCTCCAGTCAAAACCCTGGATTCTACAAACGTTCCGTAGTGTTTTTCCCCAGCAGTGCCTCGCTGCACTGTGACACGGTGCCTGTTGACCCCCCCACAACGCAGGACAGCCCAGCTGCACCGTGTCAGCCGGCAGCTCAGGAAGCCAAGGACAAGACGGCGTTTTCCACGGTGGCTCCCCCACCCGCGAGCCAGCAAAGGCACGCACAGGTCAATGGAAAGACTTGCCTCGCACGCGAGGGTGCAGGATCGGGCCCAGACCCTTTTCCCTGGGCAGCTGGGAGAGCTCGCCACGACGGGGGGGCAGCTCTCGCCCAGTGACACTGCCGACACCTCGCTTTGCCCTAGGGCACAGCAAAGAGCCTGCTGACGGCACAGCACGGGCGTCCCTCCCTCCCGTCTCCATCTTAAAGGCAAGGATGGCTGCAGGCGGCTTCATTTTATGCACATCAGGTGCAAAAGGTCCAGGCCTTTGGCTCCCTGTAAGCTG